TACATTTTATTGATATAATATTTTTAGCTATCCTCTTTTCTAGTCTTAGTGTTAAGCTTTTTGCTTCAATTCTTAAGCTATTTAACAGAAGTGATGAAGTCTATAAAAAAAAAGCTAAACTTTTGCTCATCAAGTTCTTCCTTTTTTTATATGTTTTCTGTAATCATTATTTAGCCATTTTAAACTCTAAGAACTGATACATTACAGCAGCAACAGCAGAAGCAGTACGGTTAAAGTGTATCATTTGTAGAGAAATACCTAATTTGCCTACCCCATACACCACAAACGCACATATAGTCAGCTCTTTGACAATACCCATCTGTTTAAATTGTTATTACAATTAACTCAACAAAAAAAGGATTTCTTTTGCATATGAGCGTCCAAATATCCGCTCCCAACTATTTAACAACCAAACCTAATCTTCAAATAGCATTACTCTTTAGCTGTCTTCACAAAATAATTTTTTTTTCCCATACAACTGTACTTATGCTACTCATTTATTATATTATTAAACCTAATTGTTCTATTGCTTAATCGTTTGACAAGCAAACAACAAAATTTATTTGCTTTATGTTTATTCTGTTGGTAAAATTTGTTGAACAACCTCTTCATTGTTCTCTTCTCCTCCTCATCAATATTTTACTCACTAGACATTGAACAAAAAAAAAAAAAGAAGGAAAACCAATAGTAATAGTAAAAGTAAAAATTTTCAGAAAAAAAAGTCAAGCAAACACAAAAATTTAAGCAAAAAAAAACAACAAAATTATTACATTATTAAATGGTTACCTCATTCAAAACGGGCTTCGTTTTTGTAGCCGTATCGAAGGGAGGGATAAATTGCTTGTCGAAAACGGGTATATTACGTGGCTTTGGAGGAAAGCACCGCCGCTTTTCGCTAGCAGAAATTGCTGACAATGATTTTAGCAGATGGCTAAAATAAACTGTTGTTTGGATTCAAATAAAAACACTGTTGATTTTTTGTAATAATAAGGAAGATACTAATGATAATGACGATGATGTTAATGATGTCAATAATGATACAGAAAAGTAAAAGTTTGAAGACAAAAGCATAAGCAACACCGAAGACGAAAATGCCAATCAAGAAAAAGAGGAAGAATAAGAATAGAAAGATTAATATAAAGGGAAAGATGAGAAAGAAGAAAACGAAGAAGTAAAAGAAGAAGAAGAAGAAGAAGGAGTTGAAGAAGAAGAAGAAGAAAAAAAAAGAAGGAGAAGAGGAAAATGAAGAATAAAAGCAAGAAAGCATTGGTTTTTTTTTTTTTTTTTT